TTTTTTTTTTTTTTTTTTTTTTTTAAATAAACTGAAGAGCTTACAAATGGGAGATGACACACTTAAGGCAAGTGATAGGACCTATGATTAGATAAAGGAACACTTACAGTTTTAACATTGATAATTGTTTATTTTTAACCCCTCTACAATTTGTTGGGAAACCTGAGCTAGCCGAAACTTTGCTGTCACCTGCATGTGCAGGACTGGGCAATCATATCCTCATATTCCTTGTACAAGATACTCCCATTTGGCTCTATCAGAAGGATGCTAATGGGAACATACTGATAAGGGACACAGGAGGGCTGAGGGACAGTGTGGTTCACCAGCTCGTTGACAAGGTTCTGGATTACGGCATGATTGGGTGAATGGAGACCGTAGTGTAGTACCCGAGGACAGGCTCCCTTACAATAGTTTGGGGTGTAGAGGTTGGGAGCAATGATCCAATGATCCCAGCCCAGCCGGTGGAAGCTGACTTGGAAAGTGTGGAGGGAACACTGGTTCTGTTCAGGCCCATCATATCCCAAGGAGAGGCCAGGAACTTCAGACACAATTCCGCCTGGTTGCTGGGACTTCCGTGATGAAAAAGATGATTCACTTTCCATAAACTCCTCCAGGCATCTGAGCAGGAATATGGCCTTCTGAGTATGATTATTGGTGTCACTGAAATAGAGTAATAAGAAAACAATGTCCATAGATGAAGTGCCATGCCACTGGAGCTCAAGAATCTCACTGCCTTTTTGCTGCTGTAGTGCCTAAGGCACTTGACTACTAACCAGAAGGCTGGCAGTTCAAATCCACCAGCCACTCCTCAGAAGGAAGGTTGGGCAATCTACTTCCATAGTGATACCATTTCGGAGAGGTCGCTATGAATCGGGTCAGACTCAACAGCACATAACAACAACATAAAGTGGAATCATAGGACCCTGTGCCCCTTGTGATTCCAGAGTCTTTGCTGAACATGTGTGATATCCATCTCTGTCCCAACTTTGGAAAAAAGGAAAGATTTTGAGGAACCCCCTCCTGAAGAGGGAAAATGGTTGGTGAGGTTTTTCTGGACTCTGGGCTCCACATGGCAGGAAAAGTGGAAGTGAGCTAGGTGGAGTTGATGGCAGTAAACCACAGTGGCTCTGACCGGTTTGTAAGCCACTTGGTTTGGTCTTAGAGGAAAGTCCAGGATCTGTGTGTTCCAGAAGCCTCTGAGTGGCCTTGTTACACTGGCCAAGAGCCTCACCAGCCTCACCATAGTGGCCCCAATTGTTGGATTCTCCCAAGGGTGTCCCCACTGGTCAGCTGAATGCTGGTACAACTCCAGCATGTACCTCAGGTGATGTCCTAGGAGCTGTGGCTTCCACTCCTGCTCACCAGGGGATTCTTCTAGCAGCTTCTGAATCAGGGACATGGTAGGGATCTCATCCAGGAGCTCAAAAGAGGGCTGTCCTACCCTCGCCATTTGGACCCGTGTTCCATAAAAAGCACCAGTCCCCAAAGAAGAAGGGTTCTAAGGGTACTGAGGAGGATCATCTTGAAAATCTTAGCATTCAGCAACAATCTCCAGCCCAAGCTCTTATCCTTTCTATTCAACCCAAAGCAGGTGGGAGGGAGGACCTGCCTCCACTGCAGAACGTGAAGCAAGTGCTTTCTCTCCTCTCCTCAGGGCAATAGGCAAGACAGGTGTGATCAAGCCTGGTTCCCCAGATGTACCAGCCAAAAGGATGGCCAAGGCATGCAGATATTCAGAGGTTATTCACTGTGATCTTACTGGAATGGAGAGCCCAGGGACTGAAGGAGCAAGTGTCCAGGGCAAACTTAGTCCAGTAATGTAACAGTGGGTGTCCTGGGAACACAGGGCCCATGGCAACATCCCTAGAAGTCTGACTTCTTGGCTGCATTTAAGTTTGGGGCTGTTGTATGAGCCTGGATCTCTAGGTTTCCTGGTGATTTGGTGAACTATCCCCACCCCCAGCCCCGCCAAAATCCTGTCAATAAATTCCTTTCTGCTGTAATTGTTGTTGCTGTTATGTGCCTTTGAGTCGGACCCAACTCATAGCGACCTGTCCTTGGGTTTCTCAGGCAGTATCACTATGGAAGTAGATTGCCCCATCTTCCTTC